CAACATTAACTGATTTTTAGAACATGGAATAGAAGCTATAGAGAGTCACGGCAGTTTTGAAATTCAGTGCGATTCAAAGTAGGATCATTATTTATTGCTCTACTAGGATAGACAAAAAAAATGCTATTACCCATATTTTTTAATTTTTTAATTATATTTTATTGATTATGCTATTACAGTTATCCCAGTTTTTTCCCCTTTGCCCCCCTCCACCCAGCACTGCCCACTCCATCAAGCAATCCCCACACCACTGTTCATGCCTGGTTCATGCTTGTACATTCTTTGGCTGCTCAAGGTCCTATACAGCACATTACATCCCTATGGCTATTCTGTAACTACCTATTGTACTTAATCTCCTTATGTCCCCACCCATTCCCCCAGAGCCTTCTCCCATCTGGAAACCAACAAAATGCTCTCTGTATCCATCAGGCTGTTTTTGTTTGCATAGTTTTTTAGATTAAATTGTTGATAAGTATTTTTGATATTAATAGTTTTGATCTTTTTCTTAAATAAGTCTCTAACATTTCATGTAATAATGGTTTGTTGAAGACGAACTCCTTTATTTATTTATTTTTTCCTGTCTGGGAAGCTCTTTATCTGCTCTTCCATTCTAAATGATAGCTTTGCTGGGTAGAGCAATTTCGGCTGTAGGTCCCTGCTTTTCATGACTATTTCTTACGAATCACTTCTAGCCACCTGGCCAGGACTAAAGGTCTACACTTTTACTCTTCTTCCCCAACATTTTGTTTTAGAAGTCACAATTTTCATCTATTGAAGTTACACTTAGTTTTTTAATACTTTGTTAACCTTCGTACTAGAGTTATAAGTGATACGCTCAACACCGTTACCTAACAAAACAGCATTCTGAATTTATCTGTCTTTACCAGTGAGAATTATACTTTCAAATGTTTAGTGTCCTTTTGTTCCAGGGTGAATAAGGCTCATTAACATTTTTTATAAGGCCAATATACTAGTGATGAACTTCAGCTCTTGCTTAACTAGAAACTAAGCCTATCCTTCAATTCTGAAGGACAGCTTTGCTGGTAAACGTTTTTTAGTTGGCAGTTTTTTCTTTCAGCACTTCTAGTATATCATGCCACTCCCACCTGGCCTGTAAAGTTTCTGTGGAAAACCCACTTATAGTCTTACTGTGGTTCCTTTGTATATAACAAATTGACTCTTAACAATTTCATTGTAATGTGTCTCAATGTGCTGCTCTTTGCATTCATCTTTTTTGGAACACTCTGGGCTTCCTCGTGTTGAATTTTCATTTCATTTCCCAGATTATAAGTTTTCAGCCATGATTTCTTTGAATAAGCTTTTGCCCTTTCCTCTTTTTTCTGGGACCCCCGCCCAATTAATGCATGTGTCTGCCCACTCAGTGGTATCACACAAAGTTTTTGGCCAGTTAACTTTTTTCTTTTTCCTCTGATTAGAGGACATTCACTGCCCTGCCTTTTAGTTCGCTGATTCTCCTTTCTACTTGAAATAGTCTGATGTTGAACCCCTCTGCTGAGTTTTTCAGTGCAGTTATTCTCTTCTTCAACTCTGATTTGTTTGGTACTTATATTTTCTGTCTCTTGAAATTCTCACTTTTTTATGCATTATTTTTTAATTGATTTGAGAGAGAGGGAGGGAGAAGGGCAGGGGGAGAGAGACATTGATTCTTGTATATGTCCTGACGGGGGATCGAACCAGCAAACTTGGCGTATATGGACAACGCTCTGATCATCTGATTTTCCTGGCCAGAACTTATGCATTATTCTCCTAACTTCATTGAGCGTGTTTATAATAATCAATTTATCAGGTAAGTCACTTACCTCTTTTTCATTATGATCTGTTTGTAGAGTGTGTTTTATTTTGAACATACTCCTCTATTTCTTCATTTTCCTTTACTCTGTGTTGGTTTCTGTGCATTAAAGGAGCCACCTCTCCCAGTGATCTTGTAGACACAATCAGCCTGGCCAGAACTCCTTATAATCTTTTGTGACTGTCTGTGCTGCCTTCTTTGTTCATAGTGGCTCCCAGTAGTTGAAGGTGTGCCGTAATCTGTCAGTGTCCTAAAGGGGAGGATTGCAGTGAGCACCTATATGCAGGCTGATTGGAAGCTGTACCCCATCAGGCAGCAGCTGGGAAATATGTAGTCAGGGCCCTTCCAAGTATATGGGCTTTTTTGCCTGCTCCCTCTTCACAGGGCCCAAGTATATAGCTATGGGTGAAGAAGGGGCATATCCTGCACCCATTAATTGCTGCTGCTTTGCTTTAATTTTTATTGGACACATGAGTGCAAGCCATGTTTGGCTATCAAAGCTGGTGATTCACAGGCCTGTTCCTTGGGTGTCACCTGCAAATCTGTGGTGCCAGACACGAGTACCTGCTCCTTCTGGGGAGATACTGGAGATTTGTAGTGGTCTGCCATCAGAATGGGAGGTGGCATCAGCAGGCTTCCCTGTTCTCCAGGTGCTAACTTTTCTTATGCCCCTCAACTTCTCTTTGGATTCTCACTCTGAATAATCTTTTCTTTATATATAATAGTTCTTGTCCTATTTTAAATTTAGAAGTCAGCCTCTCTTTTACTTTATAATTGGGCTGCTCAGCTCTTGCTTTCTAGAGTAATTTAAGATATAGAACTTCTTTTTATTTATATGGGCATTTGCCTTTAGTTAGCATACACCTTTGACCCTTGAATAACATGGGTTTGAGTTGTGTGGGTCCACTTATATGTCGGGTTGTATGTTTTTTCAGTTAATAGCTGTACTGGGAGTCTGCGGATGTGAAGGGCCAACTGTATGCAATGATCTACGCCATTTTGTATAGGGCACTTGAACATAATTAATTTTTTGTTTGGGGTTTTTTCAATCCATAGGGGGTCCTAAACCTAATCCTGTGCAGATACTGAGGGACAACTAAGTTCTTGGGGAATCAAAAGTTATATGCAGATTTTTGACTGCACAGGGGATTAGCACCCCTAATTCCTGAATATTTCAACAAACTAAAATTTCTATGTCTATATTACCACTCACTAACCTTCATCCCCAGCAAGTCTTTAATCATTTAAACATTTTTAAACTTTCACATTCCTGAATTCTTAATTTTTATTTTTTACCCTGTCATTTTTGAAGGGAACATTACAGTGCTGTATTTTCTAAGCTCTTGTGTACCTAAATATCTTTTCTTGTCTTTGAGACTTTATTCCATTAAAAATACTATGCAGCCCTGGCCAGTGTGGCTCAGTTGGTTGGAACATTGTCATCGAAACCAGGTCACAGGTTTGAATCTTGGTCAAGGCACATACCCAGGTGCAGGTTCAGTCCCCAGTCAGGGTATTATGCGAGGCAACCAATCCATTTTCTCTATCACATCGATGTTTTGCTCCCTCACTCTCACCCTCCCCCTCTCTAAAATCAATAAGCATATCCTCGGGTAAGGATAAAAAAAATACTATACAGATGTCGGTCCCTTGTCTTCTGGAATTTACTTTAATATAAATTAAGACTGAGCCTACCGATTTTTCTACCTAGATGTTTGAAGAATTACTTTTCTTTACTGTGTTTTTTCCAGGTTGTCGTAACATGATCCTGTTAATTTTGGTAATGAAATCAAAGACCTTCAACATCTGCCCACCCAGTACTAAAGTTTTTAAAATTATGTAATTATGGCTTCAGAATACCATTTGCTTTTCTTTCTTTTTGAGAAATACCACCTGTTGAGTCCATATCTTTTTTTCCATTTCCTCTTTTGTTTTTTTCTCCCTTCTTTTTTTCTAGAATTGTCAGCCTTTTAGACATTTTCAAGTCACTAATTTTTGGATGCATTGTTAATTCTGTTTATCTTCAATCAATTGTTCTAATATATTTTGGGTGTCATTTTTTTTCATGGATTTTACTAGATCTTATTACAGTTGGGCAGACACTTAGTGAGAGTACGGAAAAGCTAAGCATAATGAGTTACACGAGCTCTGGAGTGAGACCGCTTCAATCTGAATCCACCTCAGCTACTTATCAGGTATTTGACCTTTCAATTTATTTAGCCATCCAACCCCTAAATTTCCTTATCCATCTAGTGTGATAATATATCCATCTAGTGTAATCGATAATAAAATTACCTACCCCCTTGAATTTGTGTGAGGATTAAAGGAGTTAAAACAAAGCTTCTAGGACAGTACCTAGCATAGGAGCCACAAAAGTTAGCTGTGATTACCAGACATTTTTGAAAGTTCTCTTTGACAACAAAGCAGTATTTTTTCCTGTAATTGTCTTTTTGTTACTTCAAAGATAAGAATCCAGAGTGAATTATTTGCCGACAGTTATGCACATAAATGACATTTCTGCCCCTCCCCACTCCTACTACTGTCAGTCTCCACTTGAGTAGGAGCTTTCCCCGAGCTGCAGCCTGGGTGGGTGTGCATAGGCCTTGCCTACAGTGTGCTTTTTTTCCCCAGATGAAATGCAACTGGAAATACTTGTACTGCATTTTGTCCTGCTTAAGAACAAGTATGGTGGCATATTGAAAGGAGCAAACCTTTTCCTTTATAAATCCATTCAGTTGAGCAGTTTCTACCTTCTTTCCCATTCTCTTTGTAGCTGTAGTAATTAAGAGCTCAAACCCCAGGATTTTCTCAGTGTGACCCCACCCCAAATCCTGAACACTGAGTTTATGTGAAATTATACCCACCTAGTTCCCAAGAAGATGAGTTTCTTCTTTTCTAACAAAACTGCAGTCACTGTTTGTGGCTCCTTAACTAATGGTATGAGGCACTGCTAGTTTGCTTAGTGTAGCCACTCTCACATTAAAGAGTCTACTAAATCTAAATTAGCCAGATGACATTCACTTGATCTTATAAAAATCCTAAAAAACATAATTCACTCTCTAAAATGGAATGAATTATGGCTACTTATAAGTCACTAAGTGTGCGCAGTGGTATTTCAAATATTATATACCTTTATAAGAAAAAACAACCTTCAGGAGATTAACAAAAATTGAAAGCTGAAGAAAAAATTTTTTACTTCAAAACATTTTGGAATTTGATTTTCCTGTCATATTTTTTAAAGTTAAATAGAAAATTTAAAACAAGAAACATTATTTTGATATAAGCTGACCCAAGACAGGCAGTCACACTGATTACAGAGGTTGTCTCACAGCTTCTGGATCAGCATGGCAGAAGCACCCCCTCCTCCATTGCAGATGCTGGCAATACCGTATTCTCCCTGCTTCAAGGCATGAACCAGATGAGTGACAATCCTGGCTCCAGACATCCTAGGATTAAGAAAGCATTTTGGTTCTTCAGTAAATTTGAATTTATGAGTAACAAAACAAGGTTCTATTCCAAATTAACTTTTTGAAAAGCCTATTAGCCATAACTTGTAGCTAAATTTCATTACCTTTCTTAAACTTGGGACAGTTGTTTCAAGAATGGTTACAGCTTTCTTAAAAGCCCAAGCTTAGACTTTAATCTTACATCTTCGTCAGAATAAAACAATGTTAGTTTTCAAGAAATATGTTACAGATCTGTGTTCAGTGTTGGATCCTATCACAAATGGCGTTTGCATTATGAAGGGTGGAAAGGAAATCTTTAACACAGAGTAATAGGAGCTATCATGAAGGACTTTTAGATAAACACAAAAAGGCAGCCATTAACCTACTTAGAGTATTTTTCTGTATGAGTTTACCTACCCAATTGGATGTCCCAGAGAAACAGCTCCTCCGTTGATATTCACTTTTTGAGGATCAATCTCTAGCATTTTAATGTTTGCTAGTACAACCACACTAAAGGCTTCATTGATTTCCCACATTGTAATATCTTCTTTTTTCACTCCTGCATCTTTAAGAACCTGAAATTTTTTTATATATAGATTACGTTTCAATAATTAACAGTGGAAACTTTCTTTTGCTGAAATTCTGCAATTTTGGGTTAAATTTTATTTTTTCAGTTACGTGTGACATACAATACTATATTGGTTTAAGGTAAGTCTGGCTAAAAGTCTATTTTATCTTTTCAAAGAACCAGCTCTTGGTTTTATTGACCTTTTTTTACTGTTTTTCTTGACTGTTTTGTTTATTTTGGCTCTGATCTTTATCATTTACTTCTTTCTACTCACTTTGTGCTTTGTTGTTCTTTTTCTGGTTCCATTGGGTATAGGTTATTTATTCCGTATTTTCTGGTTCTTTGAGGCAAGCCTGAATTGCTATTAATTTCCCTCTTTGAATTGCTTTGGCTGTATCTATAGATTTTTGAGTTGTCATGTTTTCCTTTTGATTTTTCTGAAGATATCTTGATTTCTTCCTTGATCTCGCTGTCCACTCATTCATTATTTAACAGCATGTTATTTAGCCTCTACATGTTTGTGTTTTATCACTTTTCTTGTAAAGTGATTTCTAGTTTCATACCATTGTCACTAGAGAGCATGACTGATCTCAATCTTCTTAAATGTATTGACACTGTTTCTTGCCTAACATGTAGTCTATCCTGGAAAATGTTCTATGTGAACTTGAGAATTTATACTCTTCTACTTTGGGGTGACATAGCCTTAAAATATCAATTAAGTCCTTCTAATGTGTCACTTAAGTCAACTATTTCTGTGTTAATTTTCTGTCTGGATGATCTATCTATTGATGTCACTGGGATGTTAAAGTCCCCTACTGTTACTGTATTAATGTCAGCCTCTCACTTTATACCAGTCAATATGTGCTTTATATATTTAGGTCCACCTGTCAGGCGCATAGATGAGTATGAGATGTATGTCCTCTTGTTGTGCTTGATCCCTTTATCATTATGAAATGCCCTTCGGTCTGTCACAGCATTTGTTTTTAAAGTCTTATTTTGTCTGACAATAGTATTGCTACCACAGGTTATTCTTTTTACAATTTGCATCAAATATCATTTCCATCCCTTTATTTCCAGACTTGTCTTCCAAATCACTGATTCAATCCTCTGCTTCATCTAATTTAATATTGATTCCCTGCAAATTATTCCGTATTTAAGTTACTTTATTCTTCATTTCTGACTGGTTCTTTTTTTTATGGTTTCTCTTTGTTGGAGGTTCTCAGTGACTTCATGTAATCACGTAAGTTAATTGAGCATCCCTATAACCAGTGTTTAATTCTATATCTGGTACAATGCGTGTCTCCATTTCATTTAGGTTTTTTCTGCAGTTTTGTCCTGTTCTTTCATTTGAGCACTATTTCTTCATCTCCTCATTTTGGCTGCCTTACTGTGTTTGTTTCTATGTATTAGGTAGATCTAGAATGTCTCCTTGTCTTGGCAGAGTAGCTCTATGTGGAAGGTGCCCTGTGGGGCCCGGTCTCCCTGGTCACCTAAGCTGGTTGCTCCATGTGTAGGTTGCATGTGCCCTCCTATTGTAGTTCCTCCTTATTAGCTGTTGGCATGTCAGTAGGTGGGGTTGACCCTCATGACTGGACATAACTACAGCAGACTTTTTGCAGGGACAGATTCCACTGAGCAAGAGTTGCTTAATGGGGCTCGGTGTCAGCCAAGTCCACCCTTTGCTGTGTCATTTGTGAAGCTAGTTGGGTGGTGCTGTGGCATGGTCTGAAGCTAGCCACCAAGAGCGTTGGTTCTGCAGGCTCCTTAGGAGGGACTCTAGTGATGTCAAGGTCGGCCATTCTTTGTTCCTGGCTTCATGCTGCCTGGTAGGAGCTAGGAAGTGGCCTGCAGTTGGTTGACACTTTTGCTGGGCTTGAAGGCACTGAGAGAAGCTATCCTGCAAACTACGGCTGGCTGCCACTGGTGCCGGGTATGGGATCTGTTGGTGGGCACAACAGCAAGCTGAGGTCAGCTGCCACTTGCACTGTGCTTGTGTGGCTGCTTAGTGGAAGCCATATTCCAAACCAAGACCGGCCACTCTTTATGCCAGATTTGGGACTACCTGATAGGTGTTGAAAATCAAAGTTGAGACCAAGCACTTCTTGTGCCAGGCTTGGCCATTTAGCAAGAAATACAGGGCACACTGAAACCAGATGATACTTTTTTGGGTTTTGTGGACCTTTGTGGGCCTTTGTGTTTTTCTGGAAGGTCCACAGTGCAAGCCAAGGTAAGGCACATCTGTGGAAAAGTTACTAGAAGAGATTCGGACCAGTTGCATGATTTGGGGGGCAGTGTCTCAGGGAATCTCCAGGGCAGGGCGAACAGTGTCAGCTAGGTTAATGGAGAGTTCAGTTTTATGCCTTTCTGCCAGCTGTACAGAGGGAGGGCTCAAAGGGACAATGGTGCCTGCCAATACTTTCATGCATGGCCCTGCCCCTCCAGCCCTGTCCCTGAATCGAGTGGATTTAGTTCCTCCCCACATGTCCTCCTCTTCTGGAGCCAAGGAGAAGTGAGATTGTGAGCCATCAAGTCCATGCGCGGGCCCTGTAAGAGGAAACCTAGGAATCCAGCAGCCTTCTCACTTAGTTGCAACCTCACTGATTTTCACAGCCAGACATTATGATGACCTCCTCTTCCTGGCCCCAGAGCCCTGGGCGGGGGCTACCCCTCAGAAGAGACCTCCGCAGCCGTGATATCCCTCCAATTCTTAAATTGCCACAGCATGGGTGTAGGATCTACCCATTCAATGTCTCCACTCCTCCAATAGTCTTGACATGGCTTCTCCTGTATTATCTGTACTTATAAGAGTTCTGTTCACCTATCTTCAAGCAGTTCCCAGTGATGGTTATTCTATAATCTAGCTGTAATTTTCATGTGGCTGTGGGAGGAGGTGAGCAGTGTATTTACCTACTCAACCACCTTGATAGAAATTTGGTTTGTGTTTCCTTTTGATGCAAGAGAGATTTAAATATGGAGTTTCTTAGATTCCAGGAAGAATGGCCCTTTTATTTTCAGATTTTAATTTCTCAACTTACTGCATTTTAATCAAAGGATCTTATTTGCACTATCTTATTTCTATATTTGAGAGAGAAACTTGCTCTATCAAATAAAACAGGTGTATTAATCTGTACCGTTGGCATATTAATGTTTTTATTGCATTCCTTATAGTTTTTGCTTTAGAAAAGTTGCTGTGGAGTTATTTTGGGGCACAGATATTCAGAGTTATTGTAACTTTACTGTAAATTATTTAAATTATCTCATTTTGGTAGTTCCTCATAGGCAGGAAGGTGTTGCGATGGTAGTGATTATCTTTATAAAATATTGCTAGTGCCCTTTTTCTATAAAAGTTTTTATATTGTAAGCAACCATAAAATTAACATGGAACTATTCCTGACCCTTCCTGTCTTCCTCCACTGGGCTCAGGTAACTGTTAAGCTATAGAGTTCAAACAGCTTCCTCTGTTCCACCAGCACAGGACACAATGTGGCACGCAAGTGAAACCACTTCTCTAGCTCTCAGAATCTAGCCTCAGTCAGGCATCTACCCCCAGAATCCAGGACTGTTTATCACCCTTGCTTTCCAGTGTGATACATTCACATTCAATTGCAAAACTCCCCCTTTCTCAGATCTGCCAGCTCTGGATAGGTCATCAGTCCCTGCTGTTTCTGACCCTTTTCTAACCATAATCTCCACTTATTTGAATTCTAGAACCGGGACCCTCAGCATTCCCTTTTTCTCCCTGCCATACCAACCTCCCACTTTGTGGTTACGACACTGCTATGTGACTTACAAGTAATTCAAACTATCTTTGTGCTTTAGAACATGAATAACGTTTAAAAGTATAAAACCTGCAACCTTGGTATAAGCAAACCAAAAGCGGCAGAATGGAGTATGTTCTCACCTTAAGTACAGCATATACAGGTGCAACTGGAAAATCAATAGGTTCTACAGCAGCATCAGCAAATGCTTTTTAAAAAAAATTAAAAGTTTTAAAAATCTTTATTATAAGCACCTAAAGCTATACCTAACAACTTTATATATCATATATATCATATGCAAAAATGCAAGTCACCTAATCCCTGTAATATATGTAAATGTAGTTATTCCTTTTCTAAGATTCTACATTTTAATAAGCCATTGATTTTCATGAGTAGGGGGTTGGAGGGATTTGCCTCCAGGGACATTGGTATTACCTAGAGGTATTTTGGGTGATTACAGAGGCCACTTTATGTGGTAACTACTGGTAGAGGCCAAGGATACCTTTGATGCACAGAAACAAAGAATTATTTGTTGTAAAAGGTCAATAGTGCTGAAGTTAAGAAACCACGATCTAAACTAAAAGAATAAAATGCAGTAACAAGGTTTTTGTAAACTAACAAAATATCTGTTTTACTCCTTATGAAGAAGACAAGGCAGATTTTACAGCTAAAAATAGGCTTAAAAGAGATTGAGGGTATGCCAAGGCCACAGAGTTAATAAGCAATGCCAGAACATCTAGATCTCATATTTCTAGACTCCTAATCCCATATTCTTTCTATGTGTATGGTATTGTACCTGGCTACCTTTCCCTATAGTGTCAGGGTAAAACATGTACACGTAGTCTCACGCTCATTTTATAGGACAGGAAGATATTTTTAAGCTTTTATATTAAGCAAATTATAACAAAAATATTAAAAGGTCTTCTATCTCAGTTAAAATATGTACTAATTATGTCCTGTCACAAAGCACAACCTATAGCTAGAAATAGCTTCAATATAATGTATTACCGACCAAGAAACAGTTTCAGGAACGGCTCATAAAGGTTGAGGAATAAACAAGTTCAGAACATCTTCTACCTGCTATTCTTGCCAGTGGTTTAACGTTGAGCCTCCTGGCTGCATCTGCAGTCATCAGAACCGCCGCGGCTGCTCCGTCATTCAGGGTGCTGGCGTTGCCCGCGGTAACTGTGCCTGAAGTCATCGATGAGCATGGCGTCAAAACATGCTTTCCCACTGAGTTATTTTGGTTCAATTAAACAAATCCCTACAGAATACTGCCTGTGTTGCTGATGCATGGAAAATTACAAATACAGATGGAGATAACTCCTGCCCTGGGAAATATATATACATAGCTAACTGTAACACAATCAATGTTACAGTTTATTCAAAGCTAGCTCAGAAACACAAGCGCGATGGCACGGGTACATGCTAATTTATAGTTCTTCAAAGGTAAAGACCAGTTCATATTTTTTCTCCCCAGAGTCTCTTTGCTTGTCCATCACAGAAAAGACACTCATATTTTTTTAAATCTGTCAAAATCAGGCATTTCTTCTTCTCTACAATTACTTGAAATGTCAATGAATACCAGAAATCACTGAGCTATACATTTAAAACGAGAATTTTATGGTATGTAAATTATGTCAGTTAAGCTGTGTTTTAAAATATCAGTGAAGACTCTCTAATAGGCTGTGGCTAATAGTTTTAAATATACCTTTGCAATATAAATTTTTATATGATGCTGTTTATAAAAACTGCTCCACTCCTATAGTTGGTTTTGAAAGATTTAATCAGGAAAGGGAGACTTTTCTTTGGTTTATTAGCACAACTAGATACAGCCAATTTTAAAGGCAGAACTGACATTTTTTCTCAAAAGAATTTCAAAACCATTAAGAACACTGAAATCTCATCTATACTAACATTCAACAATTATTTATTGAGGACCTACTACTACATGCCAGGCACTGGAGATGTAACAGTGAACAACACAGTTGTCACCTTAGTCCTCAAGAAGCTTAGAAATATTTAACATAATATGTAAATTTGACTTTCATATGATAAACTTTCAAGATGAGCTGCATGTGAAAACCAATTTTAAAGTGACTCTATAATCTCTTTTCTAGGATTTATATAATAACAGTATTAACCGTTAAGCAAGTATAAATATACTTTGATCCAAATATTTGTTTTGTTAATTCCACTTGATCTTGATATACTGAAAATGTTCAATAGTTCCTAGATGTTTTCTAGAATTACTTTTTAAAAATCCTTATGATGTAGTAGTAAGGACTCCAATTTTTTTCTTATGCTTCATGTCTTAATACTAACCATTTTCTTTTTGGAAGACGGTCTTCAGCTTTGGAATTTTGCTAAAATCAACACGTTTATATTCTTCATCTTCTTTCACCACTACATCTGGTTTACCTAAAACACAAATCTTTTTTAAATTTTTTAAAAATGTTTCTAGAGAGAGGAAGTGGGGAAGAGAAACACTGATTTGTTGTTCCACTCATTTCTTCATTCACTGGATTATTCTTGTATGTGCCCTGACTGGGGATCAAACACACAACTTCGATGTACTGGGATGATGCTCTAACCAACCGAGCAACCCAGCCTGGGCCAAAAATCTTTTAAGTTAAGTAATCATCAGTTAACAATTAGTCCTTCAGTAAGAAACTGTTGCAGAAGGTGCCTGGTAGTCTGTGCCTCTTTTATGTGCCTGTAGAATCTACCATCTATAATCCATTACTGTCTTAAAGGTTAATAAGTAGCTTAACACAATTTAAATCTATTCAGCCACATCCCAATCTTCTCTCTCCCCCTCCTTCCTTGAACATGGATCCCACTCTCCTATTCCCAGGGGTAGAAGTCCTACCTAGGCTGTATATGTCTTAGTATTCCATCATTCTGTGCACAGTAATCATTCCTAGAATGGAAATGTAACCTAAACCAGCTTAATGAGCTTTTACTGTGGATTTATTCACCCGGAGTTGCTCAGGTGGTCCCTTTGAGGTTTATACACGTGAAGAGAGATAAAGGCAGAAACTTAGGAAGCCTGAGCAAATTAAGCATAAAAGCACGCAGCACTGAGAAGCCAAGAGAGCATGTCCTGTTGGTGCTGTATTCCCAGGTCAAGTCACTAAAACTTCATGAGCTAACTGGTTGCTGCCATATACCTGTTAGTTCTAGGAGGTAATCCCAGAAGCCTTCTAATAATTCTTTTTCACATAAGCCAATGTGTTGTCTGTCACTTATATTAGGTTGGATTGAATTATATTATCTGGTAACATTTCCCTTAATTAAAGAGAAGCACCAGTGTCCTCAGTTAAAATGAAAAAGATGAAAACGTACTAATTGAAAACTTAAACATAAAAAACTTACCAACATGTAAAGTCTACTAAAAAATAAAATCTATTTTGGAACATTATCCCTCTACCTTTTGCTGTGATTGTGACAGGAATAACTTCTTTTCCAAACTTTCCAGCTTCCCATGCTGCTTTGCTTCTGGTGTAGGAGCTAATAGCATAAGTATCCTGTTCTTCCCGTGGAATATTCAGCTTCTTTGCAGTATTCTCAGCACAATTGCCCTGATAAAAGTTGGAATTTTTAAAAGCTAATTAATTTGGTATAACTTATAAAATATCTATTACCTCTGGATAACATAAAATAGCAGTTAAATTTAGTTTCTTAAAATATGCCCTTTTGTACTAGATAACTTTTCACTCATGTCTCATCTTCAAATATTTGAATTAGACCACACATTGCTTTTCCAATGGCAAATAATTAAATAGTTACAGGATACATTACTACAAGTAATTCCATTGTGTGGTAATTTAGTCAATAATTAAGCCAAGCCGAGCATATAAAAATGTTTTCCTAAAGTGAATGGCTAAAATTAACATTTATAGAGCCCATCCTTCAGTTCACCTTCTAAAATACATACATTTTAAAAAACAAGCAGTATTATATACTACATGGCATTTCAGTAGTAAAAAGCAGTAACTACCATATGAATTTTATTGTAGACATCAGTTAGCCCATCTTTGATGATTAAATCTTCAAGCTTTACCCCACCGAATGGTGTTGCTCCTCTGTTCATTACATAGGGAACATTGGACATGCTCTCCATCCCACCTGCCACCATCACATCCTGATCAGCGACACACACAAAGAAAAAACAATGTCAGTTTAGATAGTAGTTGAAAACCCATTACACAGCTACAACAAACAAGTTATTTACATGGACTTTATTAAAGATGTTATATGGTGAACACAGGAAGTACCTGCTTGACCCTGATAAAAGGAAATGGTCTAAAATGTGTAATGATACTAAGATTAGAATCAGAGAGGATTTAAGATAGCAGCAGAGTACAAAGAAGTTATACTCCTCTCCGTCCAGGACCAAACTTCAATTACAACTAGATATAAATATAGAACAATCAACTTGAGTAACCAACTGAAGACTAGCTGAACAGAAGTCTTAAAACCAGGGATTTACAGAAGAAGCCAAATCAAGACTGGTAGGACAGGCAGAGACACGAAAAGGGCTGAGCCCACTTGCATATGTGGCAGCTGAGAATCCCCAGAGCACCAGAGGATTCAGGCACAGCCCACACAACATACGGCTGTGAAAATCTGCAGGGATTCTGGCTGCCAGGGAGAGAGAGGAGTCAGCTAGAAACCTAGGAAACCTCTTGAAAACGCACAAAATCTCTTTAGTAGCCACTCACCCTGGGCTTTAGTGGAGGAAAGGCACCTTGGAGCAGAACAGACTCATGTGAAGAGAGAATGAGTGGTGTGGCTTAATATAGCTGAAAGAACCACCACCAGGGTCGCTGCGCTGAGTCCCTCACCCTCACTGCCCACTAATGCCATCTTTTGAGGGGGGGAGAGTACTACCCTCCATACAGTATCAACGCAATAGAGCCCCACACTTCCGACTCCCTGTGGTCCCACCCTCCCAAGCTCATGTTCTGGACAGAAGTCAGCTGACTAGAGACATGGTATACAGGTCCAGGCAGACTCAGGGTGTCAAGACTGAGTAGTGTGGCTCTAGGGCAGGGGCTGTCTTTTCCTAGCACGCCAGTCTGGTACAGAACCCTTTCCACATGGCCAGATCTTGGTCTGGTTGGGCCTGATAAACCCTGCTGGCCTCACCCTGATGACTGCCTGAGGCCCTGCTGCACTGCAAAGGTCTGTGGGCACCTGGCAGGTGGCAGCTAATCTTGGTGTACCTCAGGAATTTTGCTGAGTGGCCTCAGATCCAGCACTGACACCCAAGTTTGAATCTGTATCAGGTAATCATGACTAAATACCTACCTGGTATTTCACTGAGAACCCACCTCACACAACTTGCATACAGCCAGAGACTTCCAGTGACAGCCTAACAGGCAGAGGCAAGCGAGGCAGATCTCGGGGTGCCTTGGGCCTTTCGCTGACCTTCCCCCAGGCTCGGTGCTGGTCTAAACTGGGCTTGGTGTAGAGGTTGGTCTCTTCTCACATACACCCAACCCCAGCAAAGGCAGCCACAAACTGTGGATCGCTTTCTAGCTCCACAGAGATTGCCCAGACCCAGTCACAGGCGAAGTGTGACACTGACCTGTGCAAGAATGTCGCCCAAGAGGTCCCAGAACCAACACACCCAGTGGTGGGCTTCAGACATCAGGGTAGGACTCAAGTATTTCCACAAGCAGCACATCCAAAAGGAGATCTTTGCATGCACCAGACCGTATTGAGGCAAATCTCACTTCACGTGGTCAGCACCCACTCAGCAGCTCATACACTGTGGTAAGAGCCAGTCCTCACAATCAGCCATCCTGAGGGTTGGCCCCACAACTGGACAAGCCAACAAAAATCAAGACTCAGTTACAGATACCCTGCCATGTGAGGATACAGCAAGAAGACAGCCATCTACAAACCACGACATAAGCCCTCACCAGAACTGAATTTGCTGGCACACTGACCTAGTACTTTTCTGCCTACAAAACCATGAGAAATAAATGTTTTTTAGGCCTCCAAAAAAGACAACTACAATAGGAAGCTCACATAACCCACACAAGTGACATTCCTGGAGAGCACCCAGCTCAGTGATCAGGGAGACTGCACCACTGAGTCCCACAGGATGTCTACTACATGAGGCCACCATACTGAGACTGGGAGATGGTAGATCTACCTAATATACAGAAACAAACAAGGAGGCAGCCAAAACAGGGAGACAAACATGCCCCAAATGAAAGAACAGGCGAAATCTTCAGATAAAGAAATATATGAAATGGAGGCAGGCAATCTACCAGGTATAGAGTTCATATATATGGTTCTAAGGATGCTCAGTGAATTTAGTGAGAACTTCAGCAGCATAAAAAGGAGATAGAAACCATAAAAAAGAACCAGCCAGAAATAAAAAATACAGTATCAGAAATGAAGAAGACTTTAGAGGGAATCACCGTTACATTAGATGAAGCAGAGGATCAAATCAGTGATTTGGGAGACAAGGTAGCAGAAAACACCCAATCAAAGCAGCAAAGAAAAGAATTTTTTAATAGTTCTATTTTTTATTGCATTTTCCCCCTTATACCCTCTTCCACCTCCACCCACCCCCTCAGCCCCACAATAACCACACAGTAGCTTATGTCCATGAGTCCTTTTTCTTTTTTGCTCAATCCCTCCACACCCAACCCCCCAACAGAGCTGTCAGCTTGCTCCCTATCTGAGTCTCTGTTCTGCTTGTTCAGTTTGTTCTTTAGAAAAAAGAAATTTTTAAAAGAATTTATTAATTATTTTTAGAGAGAAGGGAAGAGGGAAAAGAGAGGGAGAGAAACATTGATGTGAGAGAGAAACATTGATTAGTCACCTGCTGCATGCGCCTTGACAGGGACCAAACCGGCAACCCAGGCCTGTGTCCTGACTGGGATCAATCAGGCCTTCACTCTGTAGGACTGATACCCAACTAACTAAGCCACACTGGTCAGGGCAAAAAATGAATTTTTTAAAAAATGAGGCCAGTATAAGGGACCTTTGGCGCAAATGAAGGGTAAACACATGAACCACAGGAGAAAAAGAGAGAGCAAGATGTTGAGAACCTATTAAAAAAACAATAACTAAAAACATCCCTCATCTGGTGAAGGAATAAGATAAGTCCAGGAAGCATAAAAAGTCCCAAACAACATGAACCCAAAGAGATCCACACCAAATAAAATGCCAAAGCTTAAAGACAAAGAATTTTAAAGCAACAAGAGAAAGACATTAATTAATCTACAAGGGAGCACCTATAAGAATGTCAGCTAATTTCTCAACAGAAACATTTCAGATCACAAGGGACTGGCACAAAATATTCAGAGTGATAGAAAGCAAAGACCTACAACCAAGACACCAAACAAAGCTATCATTTAGAATTGAAGGACATATTAGGAGCTTCCCAAACAAAAAGCCAAAGGAGTTCATTACCACCAACCAGTATTACAACGAATGTTAAAGGGACTTCTTTAAGAAAAATAAAGAAAAAAACACAGTTACAAGGAATAAAATAGCAACACATACATACATACCTATCAATAATAACTTTAAATGTAAATGGCTTAAATGCTCCAATCAAAAGACATAGCGAAGCTGAATGGATAAGAAAATAAGACCATATGTATGTTGTCCCCAAGAGATCCACCTAAGGATGAAAGACACACACAGACTGAAAGGAAAGGGATGGAAGAAGCTATTTCATGCAAGTGGAAAATTTTAAGAAGCTGGAGTAGCTATACTTACAAAAAAGAGAATTTAAAACCAATGCTATAATAAGAGACAAGGACACTATATAATAATAAATGGATCAGTCCAACAAAAGGATACGTAAATATTTATGCACCCAACATAGGAGCATCTTAATATATAAAGCATATCTTCATGGATGTAAAGAGATCAACAGTAGTACATTCACTGTAGGGGATTTTAATACCCCACTGACAACAATGGATAGATCTTCAAAACAAAATCACAAGAAACGAGCAGCCTTAAATAACATATTAGAACAAATGGATTTAATTAACATTTTCAGAGCATTTTGCTCCAAAGCAGCAGAATATACATTCTGTTCAGATGCACATGGAACATTATCGAGGAGAGACCACATGTTAGAACACAAAACAAGTCTTAAAAAATTTTTAAAAAACTAAAATCATATCAAGAATCTTCTTTAACCACAACTGTATGAAACTACTAATCAATTACAAGAAAAAAAACTGAAAAGTACACAAACACATGGAGGCTAAATAACAGGTTACTAAACAATGAATGGGTTAACAATGAGATGGAGGAAGAAATCAAATCACACCTTGAAACAAATGAAAATGGGAACACAACTACCCAAAATCTATGGGACACAGTGAAACTATGTCAAGAAATAAGAATCTCAAACACACTATCCTTATACCTAAAGGAATAAGGGGGGGGGGGAAGCAAGCCCAAAGTGATTAGAAGAAAATTAACAAAGACCAGAATGGGAATAAATGATATAAAAGCTAAAAAAATATATAAAAGACCAATGAAACCAAGACCTGGTTCTATGAAAAGCTAAACAAGATTGATAAGCCTTATACCATCAAGAAAAAAAGAGCCCTTAAAATCTCTTTAAAAAAGAATTCTCTCATTAATGTGGCTCAATGTGCTGGGCACCTTCCCACAAACCAAAAGGTCGTCAGTTTCATTGACAGCCAGGGCACATGCCTGGGTGGCGGGTTCAGTCCACAGTTGGGGGCATGGAAGAGGCAACCAATCAATATTTCTTATGCACATCAATGACTGTCTCCCTCCTTTTCTCCCTCCCATCCCCTTGCTCTAAAAATAAAAAATAAATACAAAAATAAAAAAAGCCCTGGCCTAGCGGCTCAGGGGGATTGACTGTCACCCCATGCACCAGCAGGTTGCGGTTTGATCCCCAGAGCGGGGCCCGCGCCTGTGTGTGGGTGTGCTGCCCACTTGGGTTGCACATGGTCAGGGCGCAGATGGCAGACAACATATTAATGTTTCTCTCTCCTCTCCTCTTCCCTTCCTCCTGTTCCTCCTCCTCCTCCTCTTCTTCTCTTCTCTGTCTCTCTCTCTGTCTCTATGTCTCCCCCTTCCTCTATTTCTCTATAATCAATAGGCATATACTTGGGTGAGGAT